AAACTGATATTATATTAATTTCTAGTGCTTCATAAATAAATATTTTTATAGATTAACTGAGTATTTAATTTTAAAACCAGTTGAGAATGCTAGAAAGCATTTCCACACGAATTCCTAATCATAATTAAAAATTAAATTCAGTATGATAAAATAAAATCAACTATAGTTATGTAGAGTATCAAACGATTTAGTATGACAAAATAAACAACTATAATCATGTGGGGTATCAAATGATTCAGTATTACAAAATAAACTACTATTTTCCTAAAAAATAAACTTAAAAACGAAAAAAATAAAAAATCAATATTCAAAAAAATTCAAAATTTTTTTAATTAATTTTTGGACACCATTTTCTTCAATTTCCTAAAAAATAAACTTAAATAAGAAAAAAAACAAAAAAAAATTCAAAAAAAATTTGTAGCGGAGTGGATTCGAACCTATGTCCTCGTGGGACAGACAGACCGACTTATAGAATGCATATACGTATTCCTTTCAGGAATTCGTGAAAACAAAAATATTGATAATACTGTAGTATTTTTATTACAGTATTATATAAAAATATTATCAATTGTAAATTACTAGACAATATTCTAGCTTTACTACTACTACTACTATTAGTATTAGTAATAATATTTTTTGATTATGAAATTATTTTTAGTTCATTTAATAAACAAAAATATATTTGTTGGGCAATATATGTAAATATATTGACCACTTTTTATTTAGTACTGTAAGTATAACTTTCATAATTTATTGATTAAAAAATAAATAATAAAAACTCAAGTGGGTATAATTAGCAACCCTAATTAGTTTTATTTCATTTAAGTAAAATAGATTTATTTATAACATTTTTTTCAGCTATTATATTACTGCTTAATTGCATTAAGGATTACTAATGTTTATGAATAAAGAAAAACTTAACTTAAATATAGATTTTAAAAAAATAAATATCTATATATTTAACGAGAATTACAATATATGTTATTAATATATCAATTATATATTTAATATTATATAACTAATTATTTTTCATCCTTTTTCTGTCATTTACACAATAGTCTTAACTATCATATTATTGCAATTTAATTAGTATTTTTAACTTATACTATACTGTATATACTACTATATATCACTAAATAAAAAATATTAGTTTATGAGAATAATTATGAATATTTTTTAATACTATTAATATTATAATCATATATAAAAATTTTAAATAAATTATTAAATAAAAATTATTTTAAAGTACAATATTTTAATAGAAGTTAAAAATAATTGCACAAAATAAATATACTGCAAGATTTTTTTTTTATTTTTAAAATTTTAAATTTAAATAAATAATTAATTATCAATTAACTTTTTTTTATTAAACAACTTTCTTATACTACTGGATATAATAAATAGTAATGAATAAGATTTCTTAATTTGATTAGTTTGACATTAGTTTAATTAAAAAAAAACTTAATTTATATAAAATGTATAAAATATAAATGTAAAAATAAAGCTTTTTATGGTTATTCATTTTTATTAATAACATATCATTTTTTGAAGATTACTAAATATTATTTTAATATTATATACAGATTATTATAAAGTATTAATACTATTAAAAATAAATTAAAGTTTAATACTATTTTTTAATATTTATACATAATCCTATTGTTTATTATATTGTAGAATAATATTATTTTTAATAATTTTGTTTGTTTTATTTTAAATTTTAATAATTTTTTTAATAAATATGTTATAAAAATCAATATATATTTCATAAATCGACATTCATATAATACTATATATAGATAATTATTATAGATTCATAAAATATAAATCAAATATATTAATTTTGAAAACAAATAATATTATTTATATTAAAAGTATCAAATGTTTCATAAAACAATTTAGTTTAAATTATATTGATTATTTTATAGTTCAATTATAATTAATTTAAAATAAATAAAATTAAAAATGATTATATATAAGTAATTTTATTGATTTGCATAACATATGATATTTATAAGTTTATTTATTACATATTTATGATGAGTAAGCAAAATAAAACATTATATTTTCACCAAATTATCTAATATTTTTTATCAATGATATTATTTCAATACTATACAATTTAATTAATCGTTTTATTTTATTATTACTACAAATAAATTTAATATAAATTAAATAATACAACTAGTATTAATAATATAAAAAAATTATTGTATACATAAAATATAAAATAAATAATTTTTTAAGCATAATAATTTTATTAATAAATAATAATATTTATATTTAAAAAAAATTAATTTAAATTATATTAATCATATTTAATCTAAATTTTGATAAACTTATTTAGTTCATAATATTTTTTGATAAAATAATAAATTATCAATTTTCTAGACTATTAATATTAAATAGTAAATCAATTTTAGATTTTTACATAACTTATTATATTTATATTAATAAGTAAGAAAAATTTGTTAGATTTTGATCAAATTATCAAATATTTTATATAATGAAAATAACAATTTTACTTATATTTTGAAAATTTTGTCTAAATCTATATCTAAATCTATATCTAAATCTAGAATAAATCTATTATATATACTGTATATCGGTATATAAATATATGTATATATATATAATTTTATATATATTTAATATTTTATATACAGTATAATTTTAATTCTGTATAAATTTGAAATAAAATAATAAATCAAATTGTTATATATATAATATTATTGTTATTGATATATTGCTATTTTGTTGCAATTACATAACAATAGTCTCTAATTTTTAATAAAAATAAAATTATTTCTTTATAATGAAAAAGACTAATTTATTTTTGTTGACTCACATTTTTTATTAAATAATGATTAAATTAAATTATTTGTTCAATAAAATCTAATATTTTCATCAAACAATATTTCATAGGAAAATAGTTTATTAAATAAGTTAAAAGTGAAATATTTTTAGACTATTTCTTGAAAAAAATACTAAAAATATGAAGTTTTGAGTGAGTGAGTGAGTGAGTGAATGAGTGAGTGAGTGAGTGAGTGAGTGAGTGAGTGAGTGAGTGAGTGAGTGAGTGAGTGAGTATGTATGTCTAGTGTGTGTGTGTTAGTGCATGACTAACATGTTATATAATAAAAATGCTTATTACTTATGCAAAATTCAATTAGCTCTTAAATTATTAATACATACATACATACTGTATCTAATTATTGTTATTTATATTTGTTTTTAATTTTTAAGAACAATTTTTTTTAATGCAACGATTTTGAATAAACATAATTTTTTTCTGTTATTTAATCAAACAACTGTATAAAAGCATCTTTCATATACAATATATACAATGATAAGTAATATATTATTGAATCAAATATAAGTTAACAAAAAAAATAATAAAAAATCTAAAAATAAACATTTTATTCACATTGAATATATTTGAAAGTTAATTACAATAAATATATACAATAGTAAATGAATTATAGAAATTTTATTTAGTCTATTTATTGACTAAATAATTTTAGTTTTTAATTTTTAAAAATGTAATTTAATTTAGTTATTTATTTATATTAACTTGATTGATTTATTAAATTAATTTTAGAAAATATAGTTAATTTAAAAAAAAAAATAATTATTGATAATCTTATGATATATTATCGAAATGCGATTATATAGTTATAAATAAACTATAATATTAATATTATGTTTTGCAAGTAATAGTTAAATATTTATGTAATATCAGTATACAGTTTATACAGTGTATAAAAACACACTAAATATTTTAAAGCAAAAGTTTTAAAAAATTCAGACATTGTGTTAAACTACAAACTACTTACAAATATTTACATAGTATTATACTATTAAAAATAAAAAGAGTATAATTAAAATTTTATGTCTTTTTATGCCAATTTAATTGAAATATTATTTATTTATTTATTCAATGAATATACATAATTAATGAATTACTTAAAATCATTGAATAAATTTTTGTTAATATTTAGTAATATTAATCTACATATTAATTTTTAATAAAATGAATGAATATAATAATTTTATACAATAAACTAAAAAAAATTGGTATATAAATAGTTAATAATATATACATAAGATTACATAAAATAGCATATTTAAAAATAATATATTATTATCTGTTTATATATAAAATAACATAAATAATAATTATTAGCATAATAGTTGATCGATAATGTTAAACGAGTAACATAATATAATTTATAGTATTTTTTTATTTATTTTTTAAATATTATATATTATATTTACTAAATTTAGAAATTAATTATAAATGTTAATGCAAATTTTAATTAGAGTTAATTAGTAAAAAAATTGTTTCAATGTTTTTTTTGTGTGCTTAATATTACTAACAGTACTACTGTACTGATGATTAATTAATTTCCGTTAGTAAAACATTATTATCAGATTATATAAATAAATTTATATATTATATAAGGGTTACTATGAAAACTTATTAAGATATATATAGCTAATAGTATACCTGTAAATTACAGGCTGTAATAGTTTTAAATTAAAGCAATATAAATGTTTATAATGTTATCTATCATATTACCTATGGTGTTATTATACTAATAAAAATTTCAACCTCTATTAATGTATTAGTTTGCAATTTTCTAAGTAATTGTTTACCTAATGGATTTAGACTGTAAGTTAATAATTTGTTTTTTCTACATTATATAATAAAAGGTATATATAATAAATATTAAAATGTAATTCTAACGATTATTTTATATTTTTAGACACAAGAAAATAAAGTTTAACTGAAAATAATAATACAAAATTTTTTTTTATTTTATTATTATTTTTCCAATCTTTTATCTTATTAATATTTATTTTTAACTTACAGTAAAATATTAAATTATATATAAATTGAAAATAAAATTTTATTGATATTAAAAATATAAATTTATAAATAGTTTAACTAAAATAAAATAAAATTAAAAAAAACAATGAGAAATACATCAATACAATCATCAACTCGTTTATTATATAGTTGTATATTAACGTGTCTAGCATTTTGTTTTGTAAGTAAATTTTATTATTATTATTATATTAATATTTAATAAATATTTAATAAATATTTCAATAAATAATTTCTATTTATTCTAATAGAATTATAATTTTAATATTTATTTATATTTTATTCAACAATTATATATTATTAAAAACTAACCCAGGCACTATTTTTGGAGGCATTCTATCCCGAATGGATTTATATGATATTTGTTGTATTCAAACACAGAGATGAACAACAAATTGAAATTAAACACAAAATATTTTTGGCACTCAAGAGCACCGGATTTATTGTGGGAACGGCAGGTAATTATTAAATTATTTTTTTTTAAAATATTAATGCTTTATATGTACTTAACTAACTAAATTGTTTGTTTTTTTTAAACTTTAAAATTTAATTTTATAGTTGCTGTCAGCTATAGATACCTGAGCCGACAGCTAGTACTGGCCGCAGCATTTGCTACGATAGCCATATTTTATACGGTCATACCGCTGGCCGGAACACCCGATGCTCTATATTTCTTTGGGTTTACTATTGGTTTTGGTTCCAGTGTTCTACTGTCGGCACTGTATGTCTGGTCAGTTGAGCTCTGGCGAGGCAGTCGTGTACCGGCCGTTCAAATAATACAATTAGTCTATAACGTTGGTTACATCATATCGAGTGATCCGTTATATGAGTTTCTATTGAAACAAGAGATCAGTTCCGAAATACGGATCGATGAGGACACGGATGTCAGAACTAGGCTTATGAAGCCCAGGTGGGCCATCGGTATGACTATGTTGATCGGTATGTTAGCTATTTGTATATACTTTATCATATCATTATATAAGTTGTTTTTTTAAAATATTATTACTAACTTGTTTTGTAATCTATTTCATAATTTCCTGTTTTCAATAATATCAGTACCAATAATATTGATAGTTTTGTACTTTGTGGCACCGTACAAAAATAATACCGGCGCCGATGATGATGATGATAATAATGACAAACGTAATGGTCAAGGTGCTATTAATTATGATAATAATGATGATGAAAAAATATTTGACGATCTCGACAGCACCGGTATTATTGTTCGGGCATTGTTTGCACTATTGTTGGCACTGTTCGCCATTTGTGAGGTAATGCTAATCGCCCGGTGCACCGGTTTCTATGGCAGTTATCTCAGATCACTTCCGCTTAACTTATCTCTGGATGTGTCATTGAAAATGATTAACACTATATTGTATGTAATGACTGCCGGTTCGCTTATCAATCTACTGTTACCTATAATCAGGTATAGTAATAATAGTAATAGTAATAGTAATAATAATAATAACAGTGTACAGTATCTTATTATAGCATACCTGTTATTATTATTATTATTAATCATAAATACCAGTATAATATACTGATAACGAATATATGCAATAACACTATTGTATTACTCATTTAATTATGAAAAATATAGAGTTGATATGAAATACACTGTTGGCGCACATCTATTTCTTGTTACTATCGGAGCCATACTACAGTTCCCGGGTAGGACATCCCTATCGAGTCTATGGGCATCAAACGTATTTCTAGGACTGGGCTATTCGGGAATGTTTGCCAATGTTATTACATATGCCGAACAATATATGTCAATAACAGATACATTATTTTCACTGTTTTTGTCAATGAAAGGACTGGTAGGTCTGGTACTGCCGTTCATATGTTTCAAAGTACTGGCCGACGACCAGATCGTTGTCTATACTGTCGTCCAATTTCTTTATGTACCGCTTTCTCTAACAGCATTTGTGGCCATTGTTTTACTAGTCTATAGACATAGCTATCATAGTAGCGATGAATAATGATTTCGTATTTTGAGATAAAAATTCATTAAAATTACTTAATTTATTATTTATTTATAATACTTATATTTAATTTATACTAAGTTATGATATTTACAATAGTAAAATATGTTATTATATTTTTAAAAAAATAATAATAATACTATAATTGTATTTCAACTAATTTAATATTTATATAAATATATTACAGTATTCATGATGATAAAATTATTAATGATTTAATATAAACAAATTTGATATAAAATTTTTATAAAAATCAGTCATTTAGTGAAATACAATAGGATATCATATTTCAAATTTATAATAAAATATCAAAAAAAAAATATCAAAATATTATAAAATTTTATATCAAATTTGTTTATATTAAAATCATTATATATTTTATATAAATACTGTAATATATTTATATAATTATTAAATTAGTTGAAATACAATAATTTAATAGTTTATTATTTATTTATTTTTTTTTGTTGAGAGGTCCATCAATTTTTGGGATCAATCATTTAAATAATATAATTTAATTTAATTTTTCTTATATCATATTTGTATCATGTTATGTTAATAAAATTTACTATTATTTATAATTAAAATTAAACACATATTTAATTTAAGATTATTTATATTATAATAAATTATAAATTATTAACTATTATAAACTATTTATTGCAAAACTACTACAGCATATTAAATAATAATTGATTAATAAATTGATTAATAAATTGATATACCAATATAGTATGTTATTTATCAGCATTTAGTATATATTATTATGAGTATAACACACACGCACACACACACACACACACACACACACATACATACACACACATACACACTAACTATTAAAATTTTTAATTTATTAATTATTTTTAATAAATTGTTAAAAAGTCAATTACTTTTTTCTTGATTATTTTTATTATGAAAAATTATTCTAATTTTTTTATATTAATTAACAATATTTTTATGTATACCTGTAATAGTATATAAAGTAATAAATAATACTGAAAATAATACATTTTAAATATATATTAAATACACTTTAAATACATTTTTCTTATATTTCTTATCAATGATATATAAATAAAAATTATTTATATTTATAAATAGTATTAAACACATATTTTATGTGTTATAAAAAATTAAATATTTTTTTGGGATAAATTATTTTATTATTTATTCATGTATAGTATATACTATTTACTATTAATATTAATTAATCAATAATAAATACAATAATAATTCTTAATAATAATATTAATAACAATAAAATTAAACACTACTGTCAAATTTTAACATTAAAAAAATAAATAATAATAATCATAAATTGTCAGGGTAATATCAGATAACCTAATCAGCTAAACACTGTAACTGTTTAATACATTTACATTAAAAATTAATTATAAAACAATACATTACAAAGCATTTAGTGTATAATAGATATGTGAACACAATTAATGTATTGAATACACCAACAAAAAACTGTACACTAATACAAAACAACAAAATAAAAAACAATAAAATAATAAAAACTTTATTTGAGTATTATTAGTAGTTTTTTTTCACTAAAACATGTTATTTAATAAAATTGTAGCTAAATTTTTAATTATTTATTAAATTATAAACTAAATAATTACCAGTATATTCATAAATAAATGTTTTTCCAATGAGTTTACATAATAACAACGGGTTGTTAGTAAAGTCGGTACACTTTACATACAATGGCCAAAATGTGACTGTCGTGTCCACTGTTATACTATTGTTTACTGCAGTTATTTACGTAAGTATATCATATAAATAAAACAAAATTCATCTAGGAAACATTTTATTTATCAAAAAAAAAAAAAATAAATTCAAATCAAATATAAATGATCCTAGTCCATGTTGTATACAACATTTGCGCCCAATTGGTTTTACACGAAATACATGTTCATTACCAATATATCGGCATCGGGTTCGGCTAATCGGGCCTTTACAACACTAGAAACTACCGGGTTTACTGTGGCCAGTATCGGTAATTATTATTATTATTATCAACATCAATTTTATTTATGAATTTTAACATATATTATAATTGACATTACATATATATTAACAATTATAATTGATTATTTAAAAAACATTTTTAATTTATAACTTTCAAATTATTTTATAATATATTATTTGATTTACTTACACTGGTTAGCTAACATGGGTATATCTATAATAGTCAGGTTATTATATACTAATTGAATTTGTTAATCATTTTATCTCATCTCTATATAAAAATTAAAGTGTCATTTAGCTACCAGTTCATCAATAGACAGCTGGTGTCGGCAACATTTTATACCCTATTCACTGTCTCATGTTTGCTGATACTTTTATCCAACAACGAAGTGCTTCTCTATGTACTATCGGTGCTCATTGGACACGGATCTGCTATCTACTACTCAACTGTCACTGTCATTGTTGTCGAGATGTGGCGGCGCAATACTAATCAACGACTACCTGTGCTCCAGATATTACAACTTTGTCTATCTGTAGGCTATCTGTTATCCAGACATGGAGTGCAGCCGTTTCTTAATGAGCTTATGTTTAGCAGCGATACCAGTGACGACCAATTGCTACTATCGCTACAATATTTATTATATGGCACCTGTATTTTATCAGGTAATACCACTCACACACACACACACACACACACAAGTACCAAAAAACTTGATAAATATTATCATACAATTATCATATATTAGCTCCGGTACTCATGTTTGTCGTCTATTGTTTACAACCCGATTCAAAAGTATTGTCCTATTCTATCGTTGGTTATCCTAGTGATCAATCACAGGCAGCACCGGGAGATCACTCGACAACGACGACGACGACTGGCAAACAGTTTAATACTAACTCTGGCCGTAAAATACGACTACTATTTGCCGCACTGTATGTCAGTTATATAACGTTTGAGTCAATGACAACAAAATATGGTTTTGTTTATCTAATATTTTCGCCGATCGGTATCACCGAAGATGAGTCGTCAACGATATACACTGTCAGCTCAGTCATCTATACACTAGGACTAGTACTTAATATTGCATATCCATACCGGTATATCCATATTAAAAAAAACTACTAGTTATTACTATCAGCGCTTATCTATTGAAAACTTAAGATATTGTTTATTATCTATTAATAGTTTCACTACAAAGTCAATCATAACCTCACATTTCGCTATCATAATTATCGGTGCCGTACTACAGGTGCCGGCACGACATTCACTGGCCTGTGTATGGTTGGCAACACTGGTCAAGTCACTGGGATTTTCAGCCATGACCTCATCCATACTGACCTACATCGACGATCACCTGAACCTAACTGACCGGTTATTAGCATTGTTTCTATTTGCCAGAGGATTGGTATCACTAATCGCACCGGTAGTCGTCGAGTTTATTGTCGAAATTCATTCAGTTATGTTTGTCATCACAGAGTTATCGCTACTGTTCCTATCGGTTGTACTGTTTTTGGTGATCAGCAGCTCATTGATTGACAAAACCGACTATTATAACAGCAAACAACAACAATATTATAGTAAAAGACATTTTGTTTGATTTTATTTATTTATTTATTTATTTATTTATTTATTTGTTTGTCTTAATCTAATAATAATTATTTAGTTTATTTAAATTTTTTTATTTACCGGTAATTAAATTATTTACCGTTAGTTTGTTTTGTTTATAAAATTTAATTGAATTTTATTGAATTTGTGCAATATTTAAGCTAATTATAACAAAATTTTACTGTGATATTCATTTTTATTAAAAAAAAACATTTTTGTTATTAATTTTATTTAATAGCTAATTATCATTATTTATTATAATAAAAAAAATAAATATTAAAATTATCTATTTATAACCGTTTTGATTTTATTATTGTTGCTAATAATAATATCTTATAAAATTTTGTAAGTATAATAAAAAAAATTTAATATTAATATTTATTAAATAAATTTTTAGTATACTTCCTAATATTATATATACTTACTGTATATTATGTATAAAGATAATCAATTTTAAAAATAACGCAAAATCTTTCAAAACTAAAATATTATATAATAATAAATTATTATATCGTATATAGACTTTATATATTGTATAAGATATGTGAAATTATTTAGTAATATAAACAATAAGAAAAATAAATAGTATGAAATAAAATAAAAACTCATAAAAAATTATTTAATTAAATAAAAACATTTATTATATATATATTGTTTTCTATCCAATGTCAATGTTCAGCATAACGTAAATAAAAGTCAAATACAGTAATACAATGTTTAATTTTATACATTGAAGTCAAACAATGTTATTAAACTTTTCAAGTTATTATTAAATAAAATCAAAAAAATAATTATAACAATATTAGAATCAATGGCTAAAATGTCATCTATTAGTTTACGAAATGATCTGGACAAGTATCTATACACACAACTATTGTTGGCAATTGAAGTTGCTTATGTATGTATACAGTAAATGATTTAGTAATAATATATTATATTATAAATTTTATTAATTATATAATTATAAATTAAAACTCTAGGGTATTGTATACTCACTCTATGCACCCGATTGGGAGTATTTATCAAAATGTTTGGAAACTATTGGATCAGATATGATGAGACAAATTACCCGACAGTTTACAACAATTGAAACTAGCTCATTTATTTTTGGAACAATAATAGGTTTTTATTATTTTTAATTATTTAAATATAAATTATTATTTAATTATATTTTAGCAATATTTTAAATATAATAAAAACATAGTCTAATTATACCCAATTTATTTACAGTACTATTACTATCAGAGCGTTTCAATAGACAACTTTGGGTTAGCCTATCATTTATACTGTTGACAATATTTTCGGCTACTATACCACTGACGACACAAGTGGTCACACTGTATATATGTGCCGCTATGATAGGCCTGTGTTCCGGTATATTTGTTACCTATATCTATGTATGGGGTATTGAACTGTGGACAGACAGTCGACTGCCAATCGTACAGATATTGGAACTGTGTTTTGGTGTTGGATCGATATTTTCAACAATATTGCTTAGGCCTACAAAATCACCTGTCTATTGGCGCACCTTCCTAATTGGCGGTATCATTATTATTGGTACTATTATTAACTTAGTATAGTATATTTTACAATTTTTAAACATGCTAATTTTTGGGGAAAAAATAATATTCATGAATCATTTATATATAGTTCCGATAACTATGACTGTACTGTATTTTTTGAAGCCATACAAAAAGTCATATAATATCAACAAAACACTCAATGGGTTGTTCAATGAGGAAACACCAGTCGATAGTAAACTGTTTGATCGGCCAAATAGTCAGCAAAAAATTGTCTGCCATTTGTTTGCACTGTTGTTTGCCTTATATATGGTCAATGAGACAATATTTATGAAGTTTGCCGTTAATTATTATCAACGATCGCCGTTGAAACTCAATGGCGGAGAAGCCCAGGACATATACTCGGTGTCCATTGTTTTGTATACACTCGGTGTGGCCATCAATATAGGTCTCCCATATCTGTAATGTTATCTTTTATTTAGCATTTTATTTCATTTACTGTTTTATTATTTATTTATTTTTTTGAATTCATATTTATATAAGTTTACAACTGAGAACCATACTGTCCATGCATTATATTATCTCAACAGTTGGTACATTACTACTGGTGCTGGCGCTACAATCAATAGAGTGTCTATGGATGGCCAGTCTAGTTATGTGTATGGGATTTTCGGCAATGTACGCCGGCATTGTTGCCTATGCTAACCAATACCTGCCAGTGACCAATCGTATCAGTGCTTGGTTTCAATTATGGCGAGGCATACTTGTGCTGATCGGACCATTTATTATTGACCAATATTTGGATAGCAATTCATTTGTATTTATAATCATAGAGTTTCTAACACTGTCGCTATCGATTATTTTATTCAATTTAGTTAACTTTATTATCACAAAACAGTATAATCGATCCATTAGGATGGGCTCAGTTAGTGATACCAGTGCTCAGACGACTATACCCAAACAACTTAATAATGAATTTAATAATAGTTATAATAGGAGTAATAGCAGTAGTAGTAGTAGTAATAATAATAATAATACTATAAATAGTGATTGCAATTTAAGTGAACATTTATATTTATCGCTAAAATCTGATTCAATTTATGATAGTTATACAGATAGATCGTATGTATCAATTATATTATATGATAATGTTTGTTCAAATAGCACTTATGTTTAATTAATTGAATTGAACAGTATATATATAACTAAATATTATAAAATAAAAATTTATAATTAATCAACTTTATTTATTAATAAAATTTCATGTAAATATAAAGTTTTGAGTTAATATAATTTTTTAAAAAATTAATAAATGAATAAATTAGATAATAATTTTTAGAAAATATGTGCTTTAAATTGCCAGTGTTTTAACATGTAGATTAATGACCCCGATTATTAGAAAATATTGATATGCCCAACCAGCAATATAATGATAGAAATTATAATTATCCATTGGAAACATGTCCAGACAGGTGAACCCGATATGTCGGTCGGTTATATTTTCGATAAATGACTGTCCCTTTAGCATCAGATAACTGGGCAGCGATTGTTGTCGGTATTTCGATGATATCAAGCTGTACAACTTATGACATGGTTTACGTGCGGCACTGGTAACCGATGCACAGGTCAAATTGACGGCAAACATTAGTCCGACAATTATTACAAATATAACACAAGTGGCCAGTCGTGTTAGTGGCCGAGTAGACGGTGCAAACGATATGTAGATTATCATATTCATACCCGGTTTGACCAATACGTACAGCAAATATAGATAGTATTTAAGTATTTTGTTAATTTTATCAGTTTTCAGACAACTCCTTTCATGTTTACAAATAATCCAATAAATTGATTGATAATTAATTTTTCTAAGACCGGTACCACTAATTATCTCTCGACTCAAACTGTTAGCTATCTGTACAAACTGTAGCCGCAAATAGGTTAGCGATAGATACCAGAGCTGAAAGAAACATATGATAATAGCACTGAAGTCGACTAACCAAACGATACCGACAACTGTCCACCAAATGGTTAACAATAATGAGTAGTCATGAATAGCGCCGGCATATTCATCAAACATCGCTATAAATGGTGGGAAAAACCATAACATTGTACTGTTAGCACAGTGTTGATAATGTAGTGAACGGGACAGGTGTTTAATAATGACATTCATGTGCCGATAGAAACGGTGTTCTAGTCTACCATTGAGCCGATAGTCAACTGTACCTTGCTTAATTTGTTGTAAATATTCTACCATGAACAATTTTCGTTTTAAATCCAAACACTGTATGGTACAGCCAATGCCCAGATTACACATGAGTGCACCGTAGGCCAGAATCAGTGATATTAGTCTACGATTACCCAATAGATGATTGGCATTACTTGTCAACCATATTATACCCGGTTGATCATCCCATATAGCCGACAGTCCATACCTTAGCATTGTGACCAGTGATGCCAATTTAATTAGCAGACATACTTTCAATCGACTAACGGATACCTGTTTTCCGTAGACATAGTCTGTAAAATTAGGTGACACCAGAAAATAGGTTCGGGCCATAAATTTTTCCATACTTTCAAACTGAACACTAATATCATAATTGTTAACATTGTTAAGCTTGCTAATTTTTAGCGAATTAACAAGTTTAAATTTTATATTATTTAATTTATTATGTTTCATTTTTTTGTACACACAAATTAACTATTTTATAATAATAATAATAATTATTATTATTATTATTTGTATTTTATTATTTAAAAATATTATGAATAATACGTTATAATATTCTGGAAATAATAATATGATAAATAGTCACTTAATATGAAAAAAATATAAAGCAACATTGTGTGTGTGTGTGTGTGTATTTTTAAAGCAATTTTTTATTTAGCAATAAATAACAAATAATAATTATCAAATTTATGTCAATTACTATATATATATATATATAATATTATAAATGACTAATTATCATTATAATAATTTATGAAATTTATATTTATTATTTATGATTTAATGTCAAATAGCAAAACTATCAATTTTATTTGATAAACAGTAATAATAATAATAATAATTTAAAATATTATACAGTATTTTATTAAAAAAAAAATTCAGTAAGGTATATTAGCAAACATTTTATGTTTACTAATAATTAATGGTAGATAAAAATATAAAAAATACATCTACATTTACTTAATAATATAAATAATATTAATAGTTAACATTGCTATATTTATAAATTATTAGTTTAAAACATTTAAAATTATTATTATTATTATTATCGTTACTGATAATATTATATTTATACAATGTAATTGTTCATATTTTTTTTTGTCTAGTATAATTATAAATATTATCAAAAAATAGCTTAATCTATATGGAAAGGTAGACAAACTATATAATTAAACAAAAATGAATATATTTGAAAACATAATTGCCAACAATAAACGGTGTGACCAGTTTTATAGTAGTATAGTAATTAACTTTATTAATTAAATGTTTAAAATAAAAGAATATATATATATATACAATACATTGTTTTGTGTAAATATAATTTTTTTTTTAAAAACTCAATAAAAAAACAATTTTATTAATTGATTTTAAATTACCAGTGTCTTATAATGTAAATTTATGATTACAATGATTAGAAAATATTGATATGCCCAACCGGCTATATAATGATAGAAATTATAATTATTCATTGGAAACATGTTTAAACAGGTAAACCCAATGTGCCGGTCGGTTAGATTCTCGATAAATGCCTGTCCTTTAAGTATTAAATAAATAGGTATCGCTGATTGTTTTGTTGACATCAAACTGTATAACTTTTCGCATGGTTTACGTGCGGCACTGTTGACCGATGCACAGACCAAATTGACGGCAAACATTATTCCGACAATTATTACAAATATAACACAAGTGGCCAGTCGTGTCAGTGGCCGAGTAGATGGTGCAAACGATATGTAGATTATTATATTCATACCCGGTTTGATAAATACATAGAGTAAATATAGATAGTATTTGAATATTTTGTTAATTTTATCAGTTTTCAGACAACTCCGTTCATGTTTACAAATAATCCAATAAATTGATTGATAATCAATATTTCTATTATGACTACAACCGATCTTTTGGGACAAACTGTTAGCTATCTGTATGAACTGTAGTCTCAAATAGGTTAGCGATAGATACCAGATCTGAAAGAAACATATGGTAATAGAACTTAAGTCGACTAACCAAACAATACCGACAACTGTCCACATAATGGTCAACAATAATGAGTAGTCATGAATAGCGCCGGCATTTTCATCAAAAATTGCTATAAATGGGGGTAAAAACCATAACATTGTACTGTTAGCACAGTGTTGATAGTGTAGCGAACGGGACAGATATTTAATGATGAAATTCATGTGCCGATAGAAACGGTGTTCTAGTCTACCATTGAGCCGATAATCAATAGTATCATGCTTAATTTGTTGCAAATATTTTACCATGAACAATTTTTGTTTTAAATCCAAACACTGTGTAGTGAAGCCGATTCCCAGATTACATATGAGTGCACCGTAAGCCAGTATAACTGATATTAGTCTACGATTACCCAATAGATGATTGGCATTACATGTCAACCATATTATGCTAGGTTGGTCATCCCATATAGCCGACAGTCCATAGCGTAACATTGTGACCAGTGATGCCAATTTGATTAATAGACATACTTTCAATCTAGTTGTAGGCACTTGTTGTTTGTAGACATAGTCTGTAAAATTAGGTGATACCAGAAAATAGGTGTTTGCCATAAATTTTTCCATACGTTCAAACTGTACTCTAATAGCATTGTTGTTAACATTGTTAAGTTTGCTAATTTTTATTGAGTTGATTAGTTTAAATTTTATATTATTTAATTTATCACGTTGCATTTTTTGTACACGAATTAACTATATTATTATTTTTTTAGTATTAGTAGTAATATATTAAAATAATAACATTCAACTATTATTTTATAATAATTATTGCTAACTTAATATCATAAATATTAAGTATTTTTTTAATACACAATATGATGTGTTGTAATATATAAATATATAATTATGTCAAATTATACTACAAATTAAACAAAAATTAATGATAGACTACTATGCATTATAAATGTCAAAATATCATTATAATAAATTATGACAATTATTTCTTATTAAGTTTTATTTGACATGTTGTTATATACAGTATATAATATAAATTAAGTTATATAAAAAAATAAAATTTATAAACATATATATATAATTAAAAAAAAAATACAATTACTTAATTCAAATTAGAAATTATGGACATCATATTCAGCAAAATGCAACTGTATATATATATATACATTGCAAGCCATTGAATAAAATTATTTATAAAATTAATAACTAAGAATTAAGTGGTTATATAAATATTTAAATAATAGCAAAAATTTAAAAAATTTTAGTTTATCAATAAAATTTTTATAAATCTTCAGATTTTTTCATTTTCAATGGTAAGTCATTCCAGTATTTAATAACCTTTAAAAATATGTTTTTTTGATATAATTTTAATAATAAAATCAATTTAATAATCAAAATAATAATAAAAGTTAACATTGTTTATTTATAGTTATTAAAACATATATTTTTTTATTTAACATTACAAATATTATTATTATTATTATCATTAATACAAGTAGTTTGGTGTATATATTTGTTGACTAATATAATAATTATGGAAAATAGCACAATTGATATGAACAGGTAGATAAACTCCATAATCAAAAATACTGATGAATTTGTTTCAATATGATTGCCGACAATAAATGGTGTGACCAGTGTTAGTATACCGCGAAACAATAGAAACAGTGAACTCAAACGGTTAGTCAGATTGAGATACTGTTCAGTCCACGATATGATACCGGAATACATGGCCGAAAAACCCATACAAATGATTATACTGGCCGTCCATAATAGTGGAACTGAGTGGCGGGCCGGCACCAGTAGGATAGTGCCCACCACTATCAGTATATAGTGTGCTATCATAATTGTTCGCATTTTAAATCTATTATTATAAGGTATATACAGTATATAAAATTTAATAATATAAATGAACTGTTAGTTGATATATTACATACTTGTATGGATAGAAAATATTGAGTACCAGTCCCGCCGTGTAGACCGATATGGACACCGAGTATATTTCGTCGGCTTTTTCAGCGGACAACTCTAGCGGCGAGTACTGGAAGTAGGGAACGGCAAACTTCATGAACAGGGTTTCAAATGCCAAATACATAGCAAAAAACACGGCAAACAATAGGCGCATAGTTTTGCGTGGAGTGTCCGTCCGGTCAAACAGTTTGCCTGCCGTCACCACTACTGGTTCACTACTGTTTTCATTGCCAACAATAGCACAGTCTTTATCTAAATGTTTGGCCTCTTTTTCCGGCTCTTTGTACGGCTTAAGCAAATACATGACAAACATGCTTATCGGCACTAATATTATACAAAATCATAATTTTAATGATTTATTTTTTTAAATAAAAGATTCAATTAGGACTTACCGATTGACATACATCCGCCAATGATGAGCGTCGGTATCATTAATCGTGACCGCCGGTCAATAACATCCTTTTCATTGATGATCAGTTGTGTCATCTGGTAATCAATCAAGTGTTTCGTTGAATTTAATGAAACACTACTATCTTCACCAGTATTGCCACTAGGTATGGCTTCAATGAAACGGTAGCCATAATAGAGCCGATACCAAACGACAGCTCATAGATCTGGACTATAGGTATACGATGTAATTGATCTCTCCATAGCTCCAGTATCCACACAAATATCGTACAGCCGTAAATACTGGCACCGACACCAATGGTAAAAGCGCACAAATACAATACCCAGAGATGAGGTACTAGAGGTATGGTTGCCGATGACAGTGTCAACAGTGCAAAAAATATGGCAAACATTAGCTGCCGGTTTAGGTATTTGAATAGCAATGTAACAAATGTGCCCAAAATGAAGCCACTGGTTTCAAATGTGGTAAACAGTGATACCCAACGCATCGATGTATTCAATATATACTTCATGTCTACCATAATCGGTGCGTATACTGAATATACCATTCCCTGTGCAAATGTAAAGCATATTTTTTTAGTTATTAGTAATTATTATTGTAGTAGTTATTTATTTTTCTAATATATTTTATAAATAATAATAATAATAATAATAATAATAATAATAATAATAATAATAATAATAATAATAATAATAATAATAATAATKATAATAATAATAATAATAATAATAATAATAATAATAATAATAATAATAATAATAATAATAATAATAATAATAATAATAATAATAATAATAATAATAATAATAATAATAATAATAATAATAATAATAATAATAATAATAATAATTACATATGATATGCCGCTACAATATAGTATAACCGAGTATGTCCATTTGTCCCATTGGGACATGTTTTTTGTGTTGAAAAACATTATTTTATTTTTTTATATATTATATATTATATTTTTTTTGCTAAACACTTAAACAACTTCAATTGATTATTGTTTTTGTTACTGTCTATTATTTTTAATAATCAAAATAACTATTAAAATTTACATAATATTGGCTTACTATTACATTTGATTAACCGATATATTAATTGGTTACTGTTTATACTGTTATAGTTAGACTATTACAAAATAAAATCAATTACAGGTATATAATTCTGTTACTATTATATGAAATAATTTTGTTTAAAAAACTATAATATCTGTATTTATATTTATAGTCTTAATTTTTTTTTAATAATTTTTGTTGTTACATAAGACATATAGAAAAAATTGATTTCACTTAATTTATCTAAATTATGTTATAATCATAATGTCATATATAATTTATATAATAAACTAATTAAAAAAATTTTATAACATACACATAGTATATTATAAACTTAATACTGTAGTTATAATTAATACATTACATTATAAATTTTAATGATATGTATTAAGTTATTTTTAATGTTTAAATCAAATAAATTGAAAATGTGAATTTTAAAATATATATATTATAAATAATTAGTATTTTGAAATAATGTTTAATTTTTTTTTATAAATTAATATTTCTAATTTTATTATGACATTACTTTTACAATGACTGAGAATTTTTTATAATTATTGCAAAAAAATGTATAATAAAAATAATTATAATTTAATTGTTATCTTATTTTAAACTGAATATACTTTATAAATATATATATATTTATATCATATGATGTTTTTTTTTAAAAAATGTCACATAATTTCATTATAAAATAGTAGATAATTATAAAATTATTTTATAGTAATAATACTAAGATTTATTACTAGTTTATCAGTAAATAATAAATAATAATTGTTGATTGAGAAATATTGTTTAATTATAGTATATAACAAATTAATAATTAAATAAGTGAACCCAATAATTTTATTATATAATTATATATTAAATCTAGTAGTGAACTAATAATAATAATATAATAATAATAGAAACATTATATAAATATAACATAATATCATAACATGTTTAGCTAACCAAATAGCAAACACTAGATAGCTTTACAATAATTACAATTAAATAACATTTTCAAATTAAACTAATTATTTAAAAATATTTAATTTAACGATGAAAACATTAGTTAAATCATCATTTAATTGGATAAAATATGAAAGATATATCTACACAGTTATCCTACTATTGAGTACCATTACTTATGTAAGTATAACAAAAAATTAGGATAAAATTTTATGAAAACATATCAATATTTAGTAAATATAATATAAGTATAAGATATAATTTAAAAATTTATTTAATAATCAAATATAAATTTAAAATAATTTTTAAAAGGGTATTGCTGTGGGAATCTATGCACCGATTATGGTCGACATGAAGTATATACTCAATACATCAATGCGTTGGGTGTCTATGTTTGCAACGTTTGAGACAATCGGCTATTGTTTGGGCAGCTTATGTATGTTTAAAAGTCATATTTTTAAAAAAAAAAACCTACCAATCCTAATAATTATTTTTATCAACTTCAACAACAATAATTAAAAATAGTGTCCATGTCATTCAAGTATCTTAACCGACAGCTGACAATGTCGGTACTGTTTGCACTGTTGACTATAGCGTCGGCATCCATACCACTGGTTCCCCAATTATGGATTCTATATGTCTGTGCGTTTACTATTGGTGTCGGCAGTACTGTATACGCTTCTTCATCAATTGTCTGGTGTCTGGAGCTATGGCGCGACACCAAACTACCGATACTGCAGATACTTGAACTGGCCTACGGTATTGGTAGTGCACTGTGCAATGTGTCGCTGAAACCTTATCTGATCGGTGAACCGTCTCATTTGGATAACAGTACGGCCGGTAGTTTGCCATACAATGATAACGAGGAACTGGTGATCGATTTGAATCAAGTGTATGAACGAAGAAAGAGACTAATGTTTCCCACTTTACTTATCGGCGGCTGTATTATAATAGGTTAGTATTGAAGTCTAACACACAAATATATAAAATAATAAATAAATTTTTGTCCTACCAGTGCCCATAACGGTGTTTACTATGTATTTTCTGAGACCATACAAAGCACCCAAAGAGAAATCGGAGGACACGGACACCGCCGATGATGATGTCGTTGACAACAAAACAGAAGTCAGTGTCAAACTGTTTGATCGCAAAGATATGCCGAAAAAGACGAGCCGATTGTTGTTTACAGCATTCTTCGGCTTTTATGCCATCTATGAGATTGTGTTCATGAAGTTTGCCATTACTTATCTACAGTACTCGCCCCTAAAGTTGACGGCCGGTGCGGCCGCGCAAATGCAATCGGTATCCACTGCCGTTTTTGCTGTTGGACTGGCACTCAATATATACTATCAATACAAGTAGTTTTTATCTACTAATTAATTGTATACTAATTTTATTTATTTCTTGTGTTTACAGATTTAATTTGAATTATGTTATGGCCTGTCATTATCTATTGATGATTACGGGAACAGTTCTGCTGATACCTGGCCAACACAATCCTACATATCAATGGGCATCGGCTGTAATAATGCCGCTTGGCCAGTCAGCCATGTACGGTGGTATAATGGCCTGGACGGAACAGTATATGGATTTTACAAACTCCATGAGCTCCATGTTTCGTTTGGCACAGGGCTTACTAGCACTGATAACACCATTGATCATAGGGCCATACCTGGAAACATCACCCATTATATTTATATACACTGAATTTGTTTATTTAGTTTGCTCAATACTATTATATGTGACATTAAATTTAATAATTAGTAAATATGCTAGACAAATTAAAAATTAATATTATTATTGATATTTTTTTATAAAATAATTAATTGTAAAATTTTAATAAAAATGTTTATTTTCTATATTTTTAAAATTAAATATTAGTATTTATAGTATTCAAATGATAATACTGTAATAACTTTTTATATAAAACTTAAATTTAAATTATTTAATGTAATAATTAAATAATAATAATAATTTTTAGTACGGTTTATTATTTTTGTTGTTATGTTATATAAATTTAAAACAATAAAATTTTATTATGTATATAAATTGTTTTAAATTACTTGAATAAACTGGTAAATCTAAATTAAATAATATTTTTAAAACTTAAAATATAAATATAGCAAAAAAAAAGTCCAGTCACTCATCAATAAAATTTAATTTATTGTATAATTAATGCAATAATTAAATTATAAGTTACGGTATAAAAAAATACTTTTATCAATTATATAATTTTCAGATCATAAACTAAAGTACATTAAGATTAATTAAAAATTAATTATTTAATTTATACAGACACACCTCCAAAAATAATTATCAAATATATGTTTTTTTTTTAAAAATAATGACAATAAAAAAGTCATAATATGTTGTATATAAATAAAGAGAATAAATTTTTTTTAAAAATTAATATATAAGAAAAATACAAATATAGATATATATCATGCTATTAATTATTATAATTTAGTAACTAAGCTTATTTATTTTATTTTAATTTTTAAAAATTAATTATAGTAAATATGCGGGCAATCATAGAGTCGCCCATTTGGGCTAAATATGAACGATATATTTACACATTTATTTTAATCCTCAGTGATCTCGCTTATGTATGCAAATATGATTTTACATTATTTTATATTTAAATTGTTTATTTTTTAAAATATTAATATAATAAATTAATATTTAGGGTATGGTTTACTCAATGTATGCACCGATTATGGTCGACATGAAGTACATACTCAACACATCGATGCGTTGGGTATCACTGTTTAGTACATTTGAGACAACTGGCTATTGTTTGGGCACTTTTAGTAAGTTATCTGATATTTAGTTATAGTAACTTTGATTTTTTATTCTACCGTTCCTTATGAAAAACAGTGTCATTTTTGTTTCGGTATCTCAACCGACAGCTAACAATATCGGTGTTTTTTATTTTGCTGACCATTGCCTCGGCATCCATACCGCTGGTACCGGAGGTATGGGTGCTATTTGTTTGTGCATTTGTACTCGGCTTCAGTAGTTCAGTATTTTCCTGTTCGACGTGTGTTTGGGTAATAGAGTTGTGGCGCAACACAAAAGTACCGATCGTACAGATAATGGAAATGGGGTTCAGTATTGGCAATGTCTTGTGTATCGTATCGATGAAGCCATACCTCGTTGGCGAACAAAAGACTGGCAGCAATGGTGGGACCAATAATGATGACAATCTGGAGATAGACATCGATCAGGTCTATGATAGAAGACAGAGACTAATGTTTCCCACTTTAGTCATTGGCGGCTGTATTACAATAAGTAATGATTTGTTACTAAATTATTATTACATTTTCATTAAAATTTATTAAACAGTATATATTTATATGTCATTTTCAATTATAGTACCGGTGCTGATGCTGTTAATGTATTTTATTAGTCCATACAAACAACCAAAAGAGAAATCCGATGACGAAGAAACTGAAGACGATAGAGACAGTACCGCCGATGATAGTAGTGCTGCTTCGGTGGTCAAAATATTTGACCGCAAAGAGGCACCCCGTAAGACCATACGTGTCATATTTTGTGTATTTTTTGGCTTATATGTCATTTTTGAGACGGTTTATATGAAGTTTATGGTCACATATCTCCAGTACTCACCACTTAAGCTAACAGCTGGAGAAGCGGCCAGTATGTACTCAGTGTCAACGATAGTCCAAACAGTGGGAATGACACTCAATATATTTTATCAATACAAGTATTAAATTATAATTTATTATTTCTAACATTATTACTAATTTAATATATATAGAAATAATTAATTAATATCACTATATATATAGATATATATGTATTTTTAATAATATAAATATATTATTTATTTTGCTACAGATTCAAAATCAGGACTATCCTGAATTGTCATTTTGCACTGATTATTGTTGGTACTATCCTATTGATACCTGGCCAAACTAACATATACTGTCAATGGGCTGCCTGTGTATTGATGCCATTAGGGTTTTCGGCAATGTTTGGCGGTATTATGTGGTTGGCTGAACACTATATGAACATAACTAATGTACTAAACTCTATGTTCCGTTTATCAAAGGGTATACTATGTCTGATTACACCATTGATTATCGGACCCTATATTGAAGATTATTCCGTTATATTTATCTACACTGAAATATTTTATCTATCATTTGCTATTATTTTGTATATTTTACTAAATTTAGCAATCAAAAAATACTCTAATGCATTAGAAATTAATAATAATAATAATAATACTTCAAATACTAGTTGTAATGATGCTCATGATAAACAAATTATAGATACAAAATAATATAATATACTTAACTACTATCAATAATAATTTTTTAGTTTATTATTACAATGTTTACGGTATTATTATTATCTATGTAATTTTTTCAACAACAAAAAAATTATATTAATGTGTTATAATTATTTTAACATAATTTATCACATAAAATATGTTAAATAATAATAATTTCATACAATTAATTGTAAAAATAATATTTGAATGGTATTTAAGTAACAAAAATAAAAGAATTTGCTTATTTTGTGCCATAATCTAAAATATAAAAAAGTATATTAGTTTACAGTATATTTTTAGTATCAAATTATTAGTATATGTTAGTTAAGTAATATAACTTAAACAATAATGTAAACATTTTTTAACAAAAAAAAATTAACTTAAATCAGTCTCTCTCTCTCTCTCTCTCTCTCTCTCTCTCTCTCTCTCTCTCTCTCTGTTCATTTTGCAACGTTGACTGTACAGTACAGTACTTAATAAAAACATTTTGAATCACTGATCGTAAAGATAGATAATATGTGATGTGATTGCCTATGAAGTGATGTGCTTAAAGTTAATGCAATTTTATGAGATGTTATTTATAGACTTTATTATTGCACTACAATTACAGTATATTATTATTATTACCAGTTTTATAATTATCATCACTGCGTTTGTAAATTACTTAATATTTTTGTATAATAAAAACAAAAATATTATCCAAATGTGTTTAAAGAGCCAAAAATATGTCGTCGGAAATACTCCTAAATCAGACAAACCTACCGTTACTGCCACCGGAACAGCCGCCCCCATCTTATTGCGAGACTACTACTAGTACTAGTAGTATCAGTGCTGTTGTTATCACCAGACAACCTAACTCTAGTGATTACTACGAGTCAACCACTGGTATTGTTGGTGATGTAGACTTGGATAGAGGGTCTGCATCATTGTGTGCTACCATAAAAAGTTGGATCAACTGTAGAGACTGTTGTGTAATATGCGGTGCACTCGTATGTCTTAACCTTGCGATTAACTGTTGTTGCTATGGGTGCTGTCAGATGTATCAAAAGATCAAATAGTTATTATAATTAAATAATTTTATTTATTTATTTAATTTCAATAATTAATTTTTACTACTTATTAAAAATTGTTTTATTTATTTTTTAACTTATTATAAAAATATTGTATAATAGATGTATTTTATAGTAAATATAAATAATAAGTTATCTTGAAAAAATTATTATATTTTTTTTTGTATTTTATATTTAAAAAAATAAAAATTTAGCTAAATAATAAACTGTTGTACAAACGTAATAAAATAAAAATTTTATTGTAATAATCTAGTTTTTAATACTATAAAACTTGAAACTTTAAAAAATTATTTAAATTTTCTTAAATCAAAAGCTATATAATACAATATAAATAAAATAATATAATATAATATGAAAAATATTTATTTTTAATATAATTTTTTTTCTAAATCATTAATTTAATTATCATTAAAGATTACAATTATATTTTGTTAATTTGTCAATTAATAACATCAAAATATAAAAATCTCCATGGTCAGTCCAAATGAGTCAATGTACCCTGTTTATTATATAATCATTATTTTTTGCTGAACAATAACAATAAAAAATATTTATCAAGCTTATAAAACATAATTTAATATTTATATTATTCAATAAGTAATAAAATTTTCAATATATTTATTTAACAATACATTTGAATCTTATCTATACATTAATTATGTAATTGATAATAAAACCATTTTAGCATTGATTTATAATAAATGCAATATAAATTTAAACAGAATATGCTATATATTGTATTATAATATTTATTTAATAATAGTCATACAATAAAAATATTGTAGACAATAATAAAAACAATTAATACAGATTTTACTCTATCTAACATTGATTAAATTAAAATTTAAAAAAAAAATATTTATAATAAACAAATAAAACAATAAAGTTTAATATAATAAATAAATATAAATAATAACACATAAACATTAATAGATACAAAACATTACTAAATAAATTTCAAACTGCAACTAAAAAATATATCTTAAAAAAATATTTTAATAATATCATTTTTAAACTTAATACTGTATATTAATAATATATAAATATATTTAGCCAATAAATTATACAGATATTATCATATATAACTTATAAATATTATTATTTTATAACATCACACTTTAGTTTAAGGACACACAAAAAACTTATAAATAAATATAAATCTTTAATATGTGTGTCATTTTAAGACTAAGATAATTTTTGTAATATAAAAACTTTTTTTTTAAATTAATAATATTTTTTTTATTTGATTAATAATGTGTGTTATATTAAAGTCGTCCAATTGGGCTAAATATCAGCGATATATTTATACATTTATATTAATATGCGGAGAAATTTCGTATGTAAGTACATATATCAATAAATAGTTTTATTATGTTTTTATTTTATAATTTTTAATTAACTAATAAATAAATTATTGACTAAAAAATTTAAAAATTAAGGGAATGATATGTGCAATGTATGCACCGATTATGGTAGACATGAAATACATACTTAACACAACAATGCATTGGGTTTCACTGTTTACCACATTTGAGACAACCGGCTATTGTTTGGGCACTTTTAGTAAATTGATTTTGTAATTATAATTAATTTAACTTATACTTAACTAATATATATATTTTTGTATCTATCTTTCCTTTCAAACACACCAAAAAACAGTATCGTTTTTGTTTCGGTATCTCAACCGACAGCTAACAATGTCAGTGTTTTTTGTTTTGCTGACCATTGCCGCCGCATCCATACCGCTGGTACCACAGGTATGGGTGCTATTTGTCTGTGCCTTTGTATTGGGCTTCAGTAGTACAGTATTCTCCAGTTCCAACTGTGTCTGGGCTATAGAGTTATGGCGTGACGTCAAAGTACCGATTGTACAGATATTATCGGTCGGCTTCTGTATTGGCAATGTTTTGTGTACGATATCGTTGAGGCCGTACCTCGTCGGTGAAAAATAAAACGGTGGCACTGATGAGGAGGAACTGGAGATCGATATGAATGAAGTACTTGAACGACGAAATAGGCTAATGTTTCCCACATTGATTATTGGCGGCTGTCTTATGATAGGTACGATTACGAGTTTAATATGTAATAACTTTTATGTAATTGGTTTATAATAAACACACACAAACATAACACACAATCACACTATAGTACCGGTGCTGCACTGGTTAATGTATTTTATAAGTCCATACAAATCGCCTAAAGAAAAGAGCGACAACATTGAGACAGAAGACAATAGGATGAATGAAACTGATGTCAGGAATGTTAGGGCACCGGTAGTCAAGATTTTTGATCGCAAACAATCACCGCGAAAGACAATACGTGTAATATTTGCCGCATTTTTTGGTACATGTCTTATATTTGAATCGGTTTACATGAAGTTTACCATTACTTATCTACAATATACGACACTACAGCTATCGGCCAGTGATGCCGCCTATATGTTCAGTATTTCGTCAATAATTCTAACAGTTGGGACAGTCCTAAACATATTTTGGCAATACAAGTGGGTTTGAATTGTTTTTTTTAAATTAAAAAATGATACTAACTTACTGTATAAGTAACAATGTATTGATATAAAAAACAGGTACCCAATTAGAATCGTTTTGGTTGGCCATTATCTGTTGAGTATTGTGGGCACTGTCCTATTGATACCTGGCCAATATAACATATACTGTCAATGGCTGGCCTGTGTGTTCATACCGTTGGGTGTATCGGGGTTTTTTGGTGGCATTATGTGGATGGCTGAACAGTATATGAATATAACCAATATTACAAACTCCATGTTCCGGTTATCTAAAGGCATCGTAACATTGATCACACCGTTAATTATCGGGCCATATATTGAACATTATTAATTCATATATATTTATACAGAACTTTTTTATTTAGCTAGCTCATTTACATTGTTTATTGTATTAAACATGGCCATTAAAAAGTATTCAAGCAAATTGGAAAATACTATTGATAATAATACTATCACTACTATTACTAATACTAATAATAATGAAAACTATTGATTCAATATGTAGTCAATAAAATAAAATATAATAGAAAATTGCATCAAAATATTATTAATATAATTGTGAAAATTGATTATTATATTTGAAAATAATAAAAATTTTTAAATGATATATTAACTGATATTACTGTACATCTAATTTTATATTCAAAAAAGATATTATATCGTTACCAATATAGCTTTTATAAATAGTATTATATTTATCATGTTTTAATCTTTATTAGTTAAATATTAATATAGAAATTGATTTATTTTATGTAAATTGTTTTATTTAACAAAAATAAATAATTTTATTGTGTATTTGTAATTTAATTACATTTATTTTATATACCGGAATATAATTATTTAAAAAGAATGTTTACTTTATACTAAAAAAATATTTTATTATAATAAGTAAGAAATAATTTTATTTATGGCCTTTTAGTAGTATTGAAAAAATATTTTTTTTAGTAAATTGCTTTTAAGTAAACAAATATTTTTTAAATAAATAACACAAAAATATATGTATTGTATATAAATCCATTGAATGTATTAATATATACTGACATAAATAATTTTATGTCAATAATATTGATTAATAAAATTGTATATAAAACTTATCATACATTAAAAATATAGTTTAAATGCATTTCAATAAAAGTTTGATTAAAAATAAATGTTGCATATAATGTTTTTATATTTATTATATAACTGAAATAAATAAATTTTTAATTTAAACTATTAAATACTTAATTATAACAATGTCTAAAAATTATGGCCTGAAAATATTGCTAAGATATATAAATTATTCTGGCAATATTTATTTAGGATATCATATTTTTAATAATAATAATAACAACA